AACTAGAGAATTTTTTAAATTCAAATTTTCTTAATATACAATATTTGTTGTCTTTCATATGAATCTGAACTAACAATCCAGTAATTATGACAAAGAACTTGTTGAACAAGTTACGTAATGATTTGTGTTTTTCATCAAACAACTAGATTGCGTTTGTGTAAAATATACTGCACTCTGCTGAAACAAAATTTGACACCTTGAAGTGTCTGACAAAATATCCAATCAAAATAAACTTATATAGTTGTTGTCTTTTTTTGTAATTGAATTAAAAATATGATTTTTTTTTCAATTAATGTTTTGGAAAATACTTTTTTTTTTTTTTTTTTTTTTAAAAAGACAGACTATAAGAAATATTCTATTCATTCGAGCATTTATGTCGTAAGACTTTTTCGACAAAGTTACGTATTGATAAACTTTTTATCGAATGACTAGTTTGGGTAAGCGAAATATTTCCTGAAGAAATGAACACTCCTCTTTGACTGATGAGTCATTTTTATTTGCATGCATATTAATACTGCTCATCTTAATTTACCTGCACTTATATTGCACTCTACCACAATACAATGTCAATCCAAGATTAAGCTTAATAAGTCCAATTTTGTTTTACATGATTTCTTTTCATTGAAAATAAGGTTGAAACAAACACTTTTTAAAATTTATTTTCTATTTAAAAAGTTTGGTAAAACAGACTGGATGCTCTAAAATAAAGGTATCATTGCACTGCAACGCATCTCATTGTAATTGCTTGACGTACTGTCAGCTTAAAACATGCATGGTCTATGAATTTTATTAAGTTAAACATTGTAATAAATATGAATTCACTTTCCTCTTTGACTGATGAGTGAACAGTTTGAGACTCAATCAAATAAAGCGCTAACTTACTCTGTAGAAGATTCAAAGGCGCTTTTCAGTACTGCCTAGCCAGGTAGCAGTACTTGTTTAGTGAGATAAACTCACACTACATGAAAGACCAAACTTAACATGTTACATGGTGTGAATGACTCTCTAGTCTTAAATAGTATTTAAACTTGTTATTCATTAATATTGCCTGAACATTTGCATAATCGTTTTGTCTACGTTGTTCAAAGGGGCATAATTGGATTATCTAACTTTGTAAGAAACTTACAATATGCAAATTTTGCAACAAACAATCAGCCGCAAGAGATACTTGTATATAAGGGGTGATTTTGGAGGGTGGATGGTGGGGGAATGTTTCTAACCCATTGACTAGTGAAATGAATGTGCTTGTTGAAATACAAGCATAACTGCACCATACTGCACTCTGCTGCAATACAGTGCAACACACTGTAGTGCCTGGGAAATTATCCAATCAAAATAAATTAACTTACACCCCCATTAATATGTCGAAAATTTGCTTTTGTGTGCAGATTTACATATGAGTAAATCTACACACGTAAGTAAAAGTTAATTTGCTATGCGTTCAGACGAGGTTTATGTGCTGTAAGTGAATCCTTATATTTTCATATTAAATAAGAAGATCCACCGATTCAGAATTGTGGAAATTTAAAGAAAAAGATTATTTTCTGACTATTTGGATATAAAACTAATTTTTGAATGTTTCTCAAAAAACTAAGGCGAATCCAATCTGCTGACTCATTGACTTATACGAAAAAAACGTACTTCTTTGTTTTAAAAAAAAAAATACACACGTAAAAGGAAAATTAAAATCACTGTTTGAAGTTGGAAATGCTTTGGCCCCAGTCCTAAAGAGGTTGCAGAAGAGCCGTTTGGTGTAAAGAAAAAGATGTCTCTTACTATCTACTGGTTGGTGTCCTCAGCAGAAGTAGAAGGATTGAAAATCTTTTCGGTGTTTGGAAGTCTGCAGTTCTTCAGGTTTGTTAGGTCATTACAGAATATCTGCTATAATATTGTAAGTATTATCCCAAAAAATGAAATGGGAGAACCATATAAGGAAGTCTTGAAACAAAACAACGTGAATAGGAAATAAACACGAATTTCCTAGAAATTCATGTTGGGATCACATGCCAGGGGAGTATACTTAAGATGGGTTGTTGAAATTCTTGTAACGTCAATTGATATGTCAGTAGCTTGCCTTGGTTTTGAAACAGAAAGGTAAAAGAAAGTCATCAAAAGCTAATCTTTAATGGGGCCCGGGCGATTGATGTAATGCATATATTCCTAACATAGCTCTGGAACATTCCCAGAGAGACTACTTGAATAATAAATGGGCTACTTATTGATCCTGCCATGGCAGAAAGGGATCAATACGTTAGCGTTTTTGCAAATTCAAATTCATCTCGGAGGAGGCTGGAGATATTGCGTCCCTGTTTTCAGAGTTGAAAAAGCCTTTTGTGGAAAGTACTATACTAGTACAACCCAACGAATGCTTTAAAGACTTCACTTTTGCCAACAGATGTACCCTTATCAAAACTCAGTTTACTTTCAGCTATGGCTGAAGTACAGCAAAGATTTTTAGTTTTGCTTTCTAGTTGCCATGTTTACACACTATTTTACACACAACAATGCATATACATGTACAACCGAAACAACACTTGAAATGGAGATTTATGCATTAAATATAACAAAATACATACATAAGTAAATTTGCTGCGTGTTCATATGGCAAAATTTACACAAATAATCTAATATTTTGCAACAACATGTATGCAAAAGTTAATTTGCACCTAGTCTTGACCAGATGTAAATTTACTCAACTGTGCAGAATTTGCATGTGAGCAATTGAGTTCATACGACAAAAAGTGCACATGTTAGTAAATTTACATATGAGTAAAATATACTGAGGTATGCAAATCATGTCGTATGAATGGGGTATTAGTTAATTTGTTGTAACTGAAATAAAAATATGATGGAAAAACTTTTTTTCATTTAGAAAAGTTCTAAAAACAGACTGCATGAGATACTCACATTTTCACATTTTACTACTATATGACTGTTCTCTTTCATATGAATCTCAATTAACAATCCAGCTAGACTCCTTACATTTTTGCTTTCAAATCATCTTCTGGAATACAATTGATGTTCTTTTCAGGTGAAAGGGTGTTTGGGAAATAACGCTTCTTTTCAAAACAATGTTCAAGAATTCGTTTTGCATTTATTTTTTGAATACAATTGGTTTCCCATTATTGTGGAATTGATTTTAACAACACCCAGTAGAGGGTATTGCAACTGTCCTTAATCTAAATTTGACACATATGATTTCAAAGAGTTGAAAGGGAGATGAACTTGATTGGTACATGACCAAACCCACTAAGAAGCAAGAAGTCTGCTGGTTACGCAGACACACAGGATACATTTCAATGTGCTGGTATAATTTTCTCCTGAAAGCATTCTTCATTTTAATTTCGACATTTTAAAATAATTTTGGATGTTTTATCGTAGGATATAACATTAATTTGCAAATCCGAACTTCTCAGAAAGTATATCAAAGACATTTTAAGGATCTTGATCATATTTCACACCTAGTACTTGTATATGTCAAAATGAAGTCAAAACACATTTTACCAATCCATTCCATAAACACAGACTTTCTACACATTTGCATCCCTTCCTGAAATATCATACCTCACAAGAGTGTTTAAAATATCATGATGGAACCAAAAGATATTGGAATTTAGCACATTTTTTCCTTCTACAAAAGTACCTGTGGACAATACCCCTCCCTCTCGATAAATATGATTTATCTAAACCAGAAGTCTCTGTCGAGACTGTAGCTCTACTGGTTTGTACTTATCAAAATCCATTGCACTAATTTATGTATCTTTGTGTAGTCTACTTGTGTGCCAACTTATTTTGAAATCAGACCAAAACTGTAGAAGGAGTAGCGTTTTAAAGGAATTTCATAGAGAATTCTTTTTTTTAGTAACCATGGCAACACTGTTCACCGAAATCAAAAACCGATGCACTATTCGATGTATCTTAGTGTAGTTTACTTGTGTGCCAAGTTATACTGAAATCAGACCAAAACTGTAGAAGAAGTAGCATTTTAAAGGAATTTCACAGAAAATTCTATTTTTAGTAACCATGGCAACACCGTTCATCGAAATCAAAAACCGATGCACTATTCTATGTATCTTTGTGTAGTCTACTTGTGTACCAAGTTATACTGAAATCAGACCAAAACTGTAGAAGGAGTAGCGTTTTTAAGGAATTTCACAGAAAATTCTATTTTTAGTAACCATGGCAACACCGTTCATCGAAATCAAAAACCGATGCACTATTCTATGTATCTTAGTGTAGTCTACTTTTGTGCCAAGTTATATTGAAATCAGACAAAAACTGTTGAAGGAGTAGCGTTTTTAAGGAATTTCACAGAAAATTCTATTTTTAGTAACTATGGCAACACCGTTCATCGAAATCAAAAACCGATGCACTATTCTATGTATCTTAGTGTAGTCTACTTGTGTGCCAAGTTATATTGAAATCAGACCAAAACTGTAGAAGGAGTAGCGTTTTTAAGGAATTTCACAGAAAATTCTATTTTTAGTAACCATGGCAACACCGTTCATCGAAATCAAAAACCGATGCACTATTCTATGTATCTTAGTGTAGTCTAAAGTTATATTGAAATCAGACAAAAACTTTAGAAGGAGTAGCATTTTTAAGGAATTTCACAGAAAATTCTATTTTTAGTAACCATGGCAACACCGTTCATCGAAATCAAAAACCGATGCACTATTCTATGTATCTTAGTGTAGTCTACTTGTGTGCCAAGTAATATTGAAATCAGACTAAAATTGTAGGAGGAGTAGCGTTTTGAAAAATTGTTTACAGACAGACGGACAGACATGGACGGACGCCGGACGCATTACTATCGCAAACGTTCTTCTGTTCTTTGACCAGTAGAGCTAAAAAAAAAAAAAGAAAAAGTGAGACCTGGGATGAATGATATTGGGAGTTGTGGGGGGGTGTGTGTCCATGAGTACTTATGTACGATACTAGTATGTGTACATATATGCATTAGTTAAAAAAATAGTTACTTGAACCAATAACAAAGTACATTCAATTTTACCATTTTTATACATATATCTAACAAAATTTTTCAATATTATATATACATGTAATTTACAGGTAATGAAGATGCATGATAAGTAAATAGTTATAAAGAACTTGTCCTCCAAAATAGATTAACTGCATGAAAAAAATTAAAATTAATTTCTAAAATGCTTTGCACAAAATTCCATAGTTTTTTAAAGACAAAGAGAACTTCCTTAAATCCACATAATATCTGACAAAAAATACAGATTGTCAGTTAGTATGAATGACCATATGCAAGTGATCATCAAAAAATATACCGGTACAGTGTACTACCGGTATATATACACTACAATGTACTTGTTAGCCAAAACTTGGCACAGATGTATGTAAGAAGACCAGCTGGCTAAATCATAAACAAGTTCTACCAATATTTTAGTGAATTAAAATCAATATTTTGGGTAAATCACTAAACAGCCCCTAAATAATTACACCCAAAGGTGCCACTAATAAAAGCACACATGTATACAATATCCATTTTGTTTTATAAATGGAAAAGGAAATAATCTGTATAAACTGATTAGAAATTACAAGTTTGCTTCTTTTAATATACAAATAATATTTATATGCACTTGCATTTATCTCCTATTACCGGTAATATTTTTTTTATATTACCCTGCGTAAAAAAAAAATGTTATGAATATGCATATTCAAGCAACATATGAAAAATGACAATATATGACTGCCATAATACGATAAACATAGAATTATAAATATGTATCCAACATAAAATAATAGAGATTAATCATAGAAATATTCAATTAACATCAGAATAAATTTCAATCAAGAATCAGTCCTCTATTCTCTCTCTCTCTCTCTCTCTCTCTCTGAAAAAATCACTTAAACCTGGGCTTAGGTGAGCTAATAATCATAATCATGAGGGAAAAACATTTAGATCCTAAACACCAATTCATTCAACAATTGCTGAAATCATATTATTCCACAGAGGGAACACACTTTTTTCTGTCAGATTGAATAAATACTTTTTAAAACCAAGAACACTGGCAATATGGATGATCCACTGAAATATGTCTCACTTTGTCACCTTGGAAATGAAATAATAAGTCACAAAGAAAAGGAACACCAGGCCCAGTACCAGATAACACATGAGTTTTCTGTTTCCACGATTGGCTTGGACCATGTGAGACAGTCTGTGTACAGTTCCTCCCAAAAGTCCCTGTGTACTCTCAAAGTCCCCACCCTGCCAATGGTAAAGTAATACATTTTGAGCTGTATTTATACATGATCATGTATGTTACTTCTCAATTCAAGGAAGGGAAATGCACGAGTTTTTTTTTTTGTCATTACATGTTCTTTAATAAACAAATCTATGTGTAGTATAGTGTATATTTATCTCAGTGTAAATAGCTTTGATAAGGTTATTAGATCATTACCATACTATCCAAATATCTGTTTGAATCTGTTGCTTCATCTTCGATATCCAAAGCCAACTAAAAATAGAAAATTACTCTTTAATAAATCACATATACAACCTACAAGGTTCAAACTGAAAACAGTACCAATACGCAAGTTTTGAGATTATCTCCCTTGGTGCGCTCTTTCGTTGAGGAGGGTAGTTTGGTTGCCGCGTAAACAAACAGGTGGGACAGTATTGATATATCGCATCATCGATATACTGGTTTATCGTAACTATATAATTGTAAAGATGCACTGTTCAACTCGAGAATAACCGAATTAAAGTAAAGATGTCATTTTTAAAGTAAAAAAAATCGAAACAAAAAGAAAATTCAGTGGACGTGAGACTTTTCAGACGAGGGAAGAGATATTTGGACCTCTAATAAATACGGTAAACATGAAACTGATCATTACATGTCGGCAATCTAAATGACACATTGATTTTTTCCCTTATTATAACTTCCAAAAACCCACTAACTTTTTTCAAGAAAATCATTTACTTTTTATAAAGAACACAACGTTTATTTCATTTTCAAGTACCCTATAATTGAAAGTTGATATGTAAATATACACAGTTGAGCTTGATAAAATCATAAAATGCATCACTGTTTAACATTTTTATCTTTCTATAACATTAAATAAATTCTTCTAAAAGCCATCAACATCGTTCATTTATTCATGCATGTTTGTATACATAAACAAACTGTCCCACTCCATGCTGAAATAGATACTTTTTGCGCCTCTATCGCAGGAGAGTTATAATCTCGAAACTCACGTATTGAACAAACTTCCCCCATATTCAGCATGTCATCAACAGGTCCTATTAGGATAAAAGTATGTTATACTAACATTCTTCAACCGTGACACTTTGTTGGCCAGATTATCCACCCTCTGCTGATTTTCACTGTCTAACATCTCCTCTGTTCTCGACATCCCTGAAACAGAGAGAAAGAAACTGAAATAGCCATTGCAATGTTGAGGTTCAATTTTAGTTTCTACAATCAAACCTGCTTTTCTCAATTGAGATGGGACTTAGTAAAAACTTTTTTTTAACTGATGATTTTTGGACACTGAGGTTTAAGTAAATAAAGAAAAAGCAATTGGGACTCTTAGCTTGACTTGAGATATTCTTAGTATTCAAGTTTAATATTGAGGTTTCAGACAATTAAAATTAGATCTTTGATCTGCTCCAGTTAGATTGCTACATGCTTTGTATAGGGATCTGACAGGAGTGGATCAAATTGTGTTTCAGTAAAAAAGGTCTGCTTTACATGTAAATAATTTTCAAAGGCATGGTTTATATAACTACATTTTATATATTAGAGACTAAATATTTGAACAAAAAGATATTGTGGAGTTTCATAAATTCATTTTCTTAATCTAAAAATATAAAGCATCATAATATCTAGAATCACCTTAAATAGTCTTATTTTTTTAACCTCAAAAGAAAGAAGGGTTGAGGTTTGCGTTGCAATAACATGTATGCTGACAGAGTGACTGTTAAGGCAAGTGCAGGTACCTATTCACTTTTGATTTCATATGTTGCATTACCAAACTGAAGCCTGAACAGTGCTTATTTAAATATTGAGGGTTTATCCATACATTGATAATCTACTTTTTCTCTGCAATTTCCATCAAATAAAGCTAAACGGTGACCTGAATTAAACTTTTCTTGCTGCTGAAAAACAGAGACTATGACAAGATGCAATTAACAAAGTATTTTACATCCACAGGCCTAGAGGTTACTTGGAAAAATAAATATGAATCAATGTTCCAATTTTTCTCTTTGCATAGGCATTGCCATATTAGAGCACACAGTGAGAATTTGGCTTTGCACCACTTAATTGTTCTGCTTGCTTTAACTATAGTTGATAGATTATTCAATATTCATACTTCAATACAAGCAAATGATAAATAAACAATACAATTGTTCAATGTTAAAGATTTCAATCATCTGAAAAAGAGTTTAAAAGAAAAGGAAGATAACAAATATTTGGTCTCATTTTTTTTGTTTGTCTTCAAAGATTACCTTCATTTCAGTGACTCCAAGTAGGAAAAGCAATCATATTTCCATTATTTCTATTTTTCATCAACTGATAATGTTAATTAGGCTAAGTCAGCTACATTTTTATATCAATTTGGCCATTTGTTTAAACATAAACATAAACAACTCAGATCTGAAAGTGAGATGAGAAATCTGTCTAATCACGTATTGAAAACAAATGTTTACTTGTATTTAGACAGCTAGTCACATATCTCAAAATTTAATTATGCCAGATTTTTAATTTAAACTCTTTAAAAGGACATAAACGTGAAATAAATTTGGGTTTTGTACCGTTTCTGTTACTTCTGAAGTCTGCCATGCTGTCATCAAAACAAATCAATGTCGCAAAAACGCTTCAAATTAAATGAACACATTGACTGTAAACAAGTACTTTCCGGATACATTTGCATCATTAAATAAAAATCACAGAAGCGTTCTATTAAGGTCTTTTACCTTAACTTGAAAATGTAAATGTTCCACAACCGTTAAAAATATCCGATTAGCAAATCATCATACAGAGGCATGCTGAAACTCATCATCACAAATAAAATCTAAGTACCGAAAGTACTGAAACAGACACAAGTTCAGTAATGAGCAATATAGGATACATTCACTTTAGGACTTCTTTATAATTATGTTAAAAACCCATTTACAACATTTTTTTAACTCAGTTGATATTTTATCAAATCATATGATGTCTCATGGATAGTATAGACTAAAAAAAAACCCTTCAGCTTCCTTTGTCGAACAAGAGATGGACGATCATCGTCGGAAACCCAAGGTCGACCTCGGTCTCGCTTGAAGTCAACAAGACCGACCGTGGGTTTCCGACGATGATGGACGATCAGATATATGTAACTACTTCTCTAGGTATTCTATTTTTAGCACAACAATGTACCTAATTAGAAAGTTAATTTAAAATTGTGTATAAATTGACTAAATGTTTCAAAACACTTTTAACAGACATTATTATTAATCGTTTAGGTAATACATGTACACAATACTTGCGAAAATAATAAGTTAAGATTAAAAAGATATATTAAAGTTTTAAGTGTGTAAGCCGTGCTACATTTTAAATGAGATTATTTCATCAGTATGTTTCTGAGATTTAACGGTCTTACATATATAACAGAATGTTACATAAGTTACTCCGAAGTTAATATTAAAATATGCTTGAGATTCTGATTGGTTTTTGGAGTTTAAGTCTTCCATCAATCTGTTGGAATTTCCATGGTTACCAGTTATGCACCGCTATAAGCAGACTTTTTCTAGTGTTCATGAGAAACATAAATTACACTGTACTAGAAAAAGAAGTTATTAAATGGTAACACAACAACAACAAAAAAAAAATATGATTTATGTGATAACATCAGTTTTCCTTTATGTACATGAAGATTTATCGCCTGTATAAAGAGTAAAACTTATACCTTCAGATGATTTGATTAGAGGAAAAATCGTTTATATCATTGTAAATCCGGGATAATTTCTAAATTGTTGCCATTAATCGATAACTAGCTGTGACGTCATTTACCAACACTAACCACACTCTAGTTTAAAAAATATACCATTGGCAAAAAACATTGGTACCAGTGGCATGCCAATGGTAATTAATTTTACCAACGGCAACTTTTGTCTACCAACGGCAGAACTGTGAACGCACCCATTTCTTCATACAAAGTAATGTTTTACGGTGTGACCGTTGAGGCGAGAGCAGTTGTACCATCAAAACACTTGAAAAATTGATCAGCCACTTCAAACATCAAGTCGCACGAGACATCTCGACTAGCTGTGACGTCACACGACGTCACGGAGCTCGTCGGAGCTTACGGAAACGTCCGAGCGTCTGGTTTAAACAATAGACCTAGCACAATTTTGGTCGAAAAACATTGCAGAGTTATTTTTTGTTTCTTTGAAAGATTTCTACAAACTGAAAGCTTTTTATGCTTTATGTTATTGTTTATTTATTTATCTATTTCACGGAAGCAACCGACATGACTTAATTAGCATATCGTCAAAATTCGTAAGTTTCCGGTGACGTCATATGTATCATTTCCGAAGGGCAAGGTGAAGGCCAGTGTTGTGGCACGGGGGTATTTTTTGAATAAGGCAAGGCAAAATCATTTCGTTAAGATTTCGGTAAAAAACAATGTTCCTTTATTTTTTTTTACTAATTTTGATTTATTTGCGCAAAGGACATTGGGTAGTGCAGGAATTCTGGGAATGTTGCACAGAGAAATTTGGCTGACGTATGTACAGATTTCAATCCGAATTTCCTCTGTTCTTACACGTTAGTCTATTGAGCTCGCTGCGCTCGCGTCGTTTTACGGTGTGACCGTTGCTGCGCTCGCTATTGATTAAAGCATTATTTACACTGTATTGTATATATGGATTTTTTTTCATTTGCCCGATCATACCAGGGCGCACACGTCATACGATGTCACAAAGTCCTTGGAGCTTACGGAGACAGCCGAGCGTCTGTTTGAAACTATAGAACTCTTGCTGTTTTTGTCGAAAAACATGTTGTTTTACAACCAATTTGTTTTATTTCAACGACTTTTAAAACTGGATTATTTTCATATATGCTTTAAATTTTATTTATTTATTTAGTGCAGTAGAGATATTAGAAAGAAGTTGGCGCTTTGAAGGTCAAGGACATATGACATGATTAGGGGTCAAGTATAATAATGGCATCTGAGGGTTTCTTTTTACATATCATACTTATAGCTAAATAATATGTTTTACGGTGTGACCGTTGGGGCGAGCGCAGTTGTACCTATTAATTAAACACTTATTTAGCCACTGTATTGTATATATGGATTTTTTTTTCATTTGCCCGACTAGCTGTGACGTCACACGACGTCACAAAGCTCCTGTCGGAGCTTACGGAGACAGCCGAGCGTCTGTTTGAAACTATAGAACTAGTGCAATTTTTCTCGAAAAACATTGCAGTTTTATTTCTTGTTTCTTTTATTTCTACAAACTTTTAAGTCTGATATATGCTTTACGTTATTTATTTATTTATTTATTCGGCAATATTTGCAGCAAAGGACATTGGGTAGTGCAGGAATTCTGGCGCTGTTGAAGAGAAATTTGGCTGACATATGTACAGATTTCAATCCAAATTTCCTAATGTTCTTACACGTTAGTCTATTGAGCATATCATACTTATAGCTAAATATAATTTTTTCCAAGCATTAAATGGGAAGAATAATTTGAATATCTGTTGTGTTGTGTATACAGTGTACTACCTTACATGAACATCAAACAATGTACGGCACTGTTTTTGCTGATTTGATTTTGTACAAATGCAGGCAATCTCAAAAATTACGAGACCACCGGAAGAGAACATGTAACAAAGATTAATGTTTTTCTTTTATTGTCGTATAATTTATCTGCAATCATTCATTATTTAAGAATTTCCCTGTAGAATTCCAAGAATTACTTATTAATAAATTTTATTAACTCTAATTTCAGCACGACTTGAATTTTGAACAGATCTTGGAAAAAACTACTTTCTTGGTAACATCAGTTTTATATGCTTTAAGAACAAAGGAATTTCTTATTTCAGAAATTATTTCTCATGGCATTTTTTCTTAGATTTTCAAATATCTAGTAAAATACTAGTATGCAAAAAAATATATTTTTAATACGGGTGACTCTTGATGACGTGGTACAAAATATTGTCGTTATACATTGAAACAGCGAAGACAAAAGCTCAAGAGACCTTTGCAACCAGATAAAGAGGTTAAGAAATGCTTCAGGAAAGATAAACGAAATCACATTGACAATTTGTCCAAACAAGCTGTAGAAGCAGCGGGAGAAGAAAACTTGAGAGAACTGTATATGGTCATAAAGAAGCTCTCCAACAGACAAAAAAGCCAATGACAAGAAACAGGAACCTCTCTCACAGAAACAAAAGAACGATTGTGGAGGTGGGTAGAACTCTTTTGGAAAGCTTTTAATGTAAATAGACTAACACAAGAGACAGCTCCGTACATACAAGCAGCCGATACATACCCAATAAATACCTCCCTAACAACTACAAGAAATTCAAAGAATTGTGGTCCCCCGCTTTCGTTGCGTTTGTGGGTGGAATGTCAATTTTAATGACATTTTGTGTCAAATATTATCATATAAAGGTACATGTAATGCACATGTCAGATATGAAAGCCCTATCTCTTCTCAATCAAAAGATATACCGGTAAGTAAGTGAACCTGGTGACCCTGTATGGCAAAATAGGGAAGATTCAACTTGTCATAAGTATTATGTACGTGAAGTATGAGAGCCCTTGTTACATATGTGAAGTATGAAGCTCTTGCCCAAACCGTTCATAAGTTGTGGCCAAGGTTAAAGTTTTCAAAAAGTAGGTCAAACTCCAAGGTCAAAGTCAAAGGGTCAAAGTTGTTGGTATTCAATCAAATGAAAGGTTTACTCACAAGGATTATATATTTGAAGTATGAAAGCCCTAGCCCTCACCGTTCAAAAGTTATAGCCAAGGTTAAACTTTTTTCATAAGTACGGAAATCGTCAAGGTCAAAATGTCAAAGTTGTTGGTATCCAATAAAAAGATCTTGCAACAAAGAATATATATATATGTGAAATATGAAAGCCCTAGTATCTACCATTCAAAAGTTATGGCCAAAGTAAAAGTTTGAAATTTTTGTGTAAAAGTGGGTCAAACTCCAAGGTAGGTCAAAAGGTCAAATTTAATGGTACCCAAAGAAAGGTCTTGTCACTAGGAATACACATGTGAAATATGAAAGTCATAGCTCCACTAAATCAAAAGTTATAAGCAAGATTAAAGTTTTTGTGACGGACAGACAGCTAGACTGACAGACTGACAGACGAATGAGATTTAATGTCCCCTCGCTTTAGCGAGAGCGGGGGACAACAAACTAACAGAAACAGAGATTAGGATACCAATTACCAAACATGAGAATGGAAAGTCATCTTCATCGACTATGAAAAAGCATTCAATAGCGTGAACCGAGAGAGACTGTGGAATATACTGAGGTACTATGGAGTACCCGAGAAGACTTCTCCTTCATTCTAAACACAAATCAAGGCATGTTATACAGAGATTCGAGGTCAAGACAGGATTTCGACAAGAATGTTTGATCTTCCTCTTTGTCATTGACTGGATCATTAGAATTACCACAACAGGCATTTACAATGGTTAACAACTGACGTTCCTGACGCAACTTGACGATCTAGACTTTGTCGATGACCTGACACAATCACAGTCAGGCAGTCAGATGCAGGATACAATGAAACAACTCGCCTCTTAACAACATCCACAGGACCGGGACTCAAGATCAATTTGAAGAAAACAGAAGTGATAAACACCACTGTCCAAACACCAGTCACAGTCGGTGGTGAGTTCAGCAGAAAGGTTGGGCCCTTCATCTACC